AACTTTCTTTTTTATCATGTAGCATAACTTTTCTAGAAAACAAGACTGAGCTATGAAATCCAATTATCATATTTTGTATTTAAGATTTAATCTAGTCTGAACTGATTTCCCTAAAATATTTTCCCTGAAATTCTTTCTAATAAAGCCTGTACTCTTGTTAAATCTAAATGTTTTTAAACGTGTGAAATTGTTAAACCTACTCCCTCTTTAACTCTGCCCCTTTGCCAGTCCAGGGTCTGCAGCTGCTCACAACTCAGCAAAACAGGGCTGCCCCTGGGAAGGGGAAGCTGCTAGAAGGTCAGCTAGGGGTATTTGGAAGAGATCTAGTAGTTAAGCAGCTGCATGTTTGGTAAACATGAGGAGAAGTGAAAAATTAGAGATAGTTCTATGTTTTAAATCAAACCTTTTAAAAAGTTAATTCATGATCAGGAAAAATACCCCTCCAGAATTTTAGAAAATTCAGTTCTTCCTTCTTTAGATACATCTCAACATGATACATAACACTGCAAGGAGGCTAGATAAACTATGCATTCATTTTGGGTTTTTAAAAATAAAAGCAGAAAAAAGCTTATTAAAATGTTTCCAGAGCATCAAACTGAAATCTGTAGAATTTAACCTGTTTACATCCAGATAATATAAAGTATTCCAAATTTACCAATTATCTTGTATTTGGTGAGGAAGAGAAAGATGATCAGCCTAAACTAAGAATGGAAACGATAAAGAAAAGAAAAAAATAAAACCAAACCAAACCACCTAGCATTTATTCCTTTGAAAAGTGAAAGAGAAAAGGTTAAGTTACATACTTTAAATTTTATATTTCCTCCGTGTTGATATCAGAATGTCTAATAAAAAAGCACAATGAGACAGTACTGCCAATAATTATAACCTCATCCTGTTACTATGTTTAAATTTATACAGCTACAGTTTAAATGGCATGAGACAGTTAGTATGAGGTGAAATGAAATAGAGGTATGAATTACTTGTATAAGTATTTAAATTCCACTAATTAAACTTACTGTGAAACAAGAGGATATTGATTCAGTCTATTTATCTCCTCTCTTCTTTATTTCACAAATAAGGGAAAATTAGTAAGCATTGCACTTTTTAACATTTTTGTAGTTATATGCTTAACACCTAAATAGAACCAAAGCTAAAAGAAAGTTAACTAAAGAGTGAGAGACACTGGGATTTTGGTGTGATTTCTCTATTAAAAACTCTCAGTATAGGAGAGAGAACATGCAGTTCACAATGAGTGGCAAAGATAACTGTCTTCTAATCATTAAAGACTGCTACTATTCTCTGCTACTTAATTGCATTTTTGCACCAGAGGCTTGAAATTTACTTGAGCTCAGATTTTCTTGTGAATCATACACAGAACTGGGGAGTTCCCTTCTACATCCTTGAGTGAAGCTGCAGTTAAATCAGATAACATTTTTATTTGGTTCAGAACAATGGGAAACTTATTTCTCATTGCACATTCTGTGCTTAGAATGAATAGAATGAACAGAATCCAAAGCAATGAAATTGTGACAGCCTTTATAAAACCAAGCTCTCCCTTAGTTGAGATAATATTATACAGCATATAATTGGACAATAAAATGTTTGTGCCCAATGCAGGGTGGCTGCATGACTTCAGAGAATCTCCCTTTTCTGCTGCTGGTTTTAGACCAGGTAGCAGTAGGTGTCAGAAACAGGCACCATAAGCATCAGCAATGTGTCTGTGCTTAAAATCAAACAGCATCATGAACAGAAAAAAAAGGTACCTTGGATGTTCTATCCTATGTGCTATGCTAAAAAGAAACTGTGGGCAAGCACGCAAAACATACATCCTGGCAGATACTCCCTAGTTCTGCCACATAACTGTGAACAGATGTTATCCACAGTCTTGCCAGACATTATCCCACAGTGTAAACTTGAAAGCATAAATCTCTTTCAGTATCATCAGTTATTAATGAAAGAACATAGATGGTTTTATCGGGGAAGTTTCTTTCTTGATGATACACAGTGGGTTACCTCTGACATGACTCTATGGACTAAGAATTGATACAACTGAGATGCCTTTTGCCAGTATATGAATGAGAATCACAGTATTATGTCAAGTGAGAAAGGAATGGAAATGCAGAGATGAGCAACTTTTACTGAAGAGAACCTCAAATCCAATTGAAATAAGGTTTTTGGTTTGTCGAAGGTCCACTTCAGAGGCAAAATGGTGAATATGAACAATGGAGACAGCTCTGAGAAAGAATGTACTTTCTTCATCTCCGTACACAATAACACAGGTGGTACCAGGGGCTTGCAGACCACTACACCAAGCAATGCTTAATCACTTAAATTTTAAGAGTTCATTACAAGGCATTTCTAGATTTACGTTTCAAACACCATGTTATCTGGAAAGCTCCTCAACAACTCCAAGCTTGGTAATGATCTCTTCACATTTGTCAACTTTCCTTTCTTTACACAATGAAAATTCTTCGGCATCCACTTGTTTGCTTCTACAAGTACCCTTAATATTCTGTTCCACCCAATCCTGTGTGTGGAGACTAAACGAAGTCATATTATCCAAAGCCTACTCCACTCCTTTACAAGGCTTACTTCTAATATGTTTCATATCCACTTGTTTACAATGCCCAAAGGAATTGCTTCTAATACTTTTTGGTGTTATTTTCAACTTGAAAGGAAAAAAAATAATCCTTAACTCCTGAGCTCTAAATCATTAAAACAATATAAAAGGACACATGTTCTAATTTTATTTGTCCACATTCATCACTATTTTGTCACTTTCAGATGCCATTTTTGGACTTACAACTGGACATTCCGGACAACCAGATGTGATTTCTTACTCATGGAACTCTGAACTCAGCCCCAATATGGTGTTATAATGTCCTTTGGTAATAGCATGAATAAAGGTTGAGGCGTTAGGAGTGGTAAGATAAGAGGGGAAGACAACGCATTATTATCTGTTTTGCTGTTTCATTGAGGGGGCATTTTAAGAAATAGAAATTGTAGTTGTTAAGTCTGGAACAGTACCATCTGAAAATAATCTTCAAAAGCAGTGACTATATTGCCTAAAATGTTATACTATCAAGAGCTTCTGGCTGGGTTCTAGTGCCCGAGCTGAAAGAATCTAAAGACCCTGGAGGCTGCTGTATTCAGTGTCAGTTGTAACATCCTTAACACAAGAAATAGAAAGACCCATCTGATGTATTTTCTTCATGATCTGTATGCACCAGGACAGCCAGAATCCAAGCAATTGTTATGCCTGAGGTAAGTTTCTTGATCTTAGAGCTGCACTTACTAGAATATTGTTGTAGTAATGAGAAATAAAATGACTGAATAGTTACAGTGGCTACTGTTTGCTCCATCACCCAGTATGGAATACATATAAGAACACAGCAAAAGAATCTAATAAAACTTGATTTTACTTCATTGAGACTCAAGTGGTAGGGATAGGGGGAAATATTTATAGAAATTAAAAATGTATGTAAAGCATAAAAGATCCAGTGGATTGTAATTGTTTCACAAAATCAGCATTGTTTTAATGTTTGCTATTATGAAGAATCGTAATCAGCTGTATTACTGCAACTTAATTAAGCACAGGAACACAACTACAAAAAATATTTCACCCTACATATGTTTATCACTGTCTCTATCTCAAATTAAGAAAATTCAAGCTCTTTGTTAAGATTTAAAAGAAAAAAAAACAAACAATGAGAGGTCAGAATTTTATTTTGATGCATGAATCCTTGAGAAAACAGAAGTCCAAGCCTGATTTTCTTAAATGACTGTAAGACAAGATTGGCATTGGCATTTCAAGAAACAGAAACAGTAGTTGTTAAGTCTGGCAAAATATCATCTGAAAATAATTTATGAAGGCAGTGGATATGTTCTCTAAAACATTATACTATAAAACATAAAATCATACATTTTCTGGAGGAAAAAATGCTCATTAGAAGACTTATGATGTCAGATACCAAATGAGAATTTTTCCAGCAGAACTTCAGTAGGTCCTTACCTTAATGGTAGCTTCTTAGGATTACTAAATTGTGTTTCAAATGGACAAAAGAATCATTTGCACATTTAATTATTATTTCTGCAAACCTTTCTAACACACTTAATATATTATCACATTTACTATTATATTTTGCAGAACAGAGGTTTAGCAGTGATAGACAGACTAGCTCAATATAACACAGACTAGCTCAATATAACACAGAAGTTTCTTAAGTGTTTGCCATAATTTGTATGAACAAGTACTAATTACTAACAGCATTTATTTTGCCTATAGACTTCCACAGTTCAGATGACTTTGTAAGTACAGGTTCCAAATAAGATCATACAACACATTCTGACATGAATCTGCTTCTTTTGCTTTTGCATGCAAAAGAACTTCAGTATTTAAGATATGCAGACATCCTCTGATTACAACTGTACATTTATCAGTGAGGCAAACTTAGGAATTTTCAACTATCATGGAAACCAATACCCAGGTATTTCCACTTTGGATTCTTTATGAAAGAGAATTTCGATGTCGACATTTTTGGGAATCATGCATTGCTACTTATCTTCTGTTCCAATATCTATTTATAGTAGCTATTTTTTGAGAAAAATTCTCTATAGAGGTACCTGTAGTATGTGTTTAAGCACATAGCCTCCTTTTTCTGTCAGACACAGCTAAAGGTAATTTGATATTTCTTATCCTATTACTGAAAAGCACTTCAGAGCACAACTACTGGAGACTATGTCTAATCAGGTGTAAAATAAAAAGAAGTTTCACAGAATCTGTCCTATAAGAGAACATTTCAAATTCTGATACTATCAAACTGTAACAACTACTCAAATTCATCTAATTAAAACTATACAAAAAGCAGAAATCTGGTAGAACAAACAAACAAAAGTAAAAGACAAGCAGCAATTTGTCTCAGTTAAAAGGATGAATTTCAGGCTCTTATCTATCACATTACTACTAGTGAATATGCTTAAATATTCTCCAGCACACTCACCTCTTTTTGACGGTATTTAATTGCCAGTTTCAATCTTGCAAGATCATTACCACTTTGTTCTTCTATCAAGCTATTATCATCTCTGTAATTAAGAATAATTTCCAATTCCCTGGAACTCCGTGTCTGATCCAGGAGATCTTTTGCAAATTGCTTGCATTGCCGTGACAGTTCCTCATACTCTGACTTAAATTCATTTTCGACTTTACTCAGTTCCTGCAGCTCCCAGCTCAGTTGAAAAGCAGTAAGGAAAGGGTCCTCACTGGATAAAGCAATCAACGATGGGCTCGCCAGAGCCTTGTAGATATTGAGTCTGGACCGAGAGTGGCGGAGGCTGTCCACGTCTGAACTTGAGACACATTCAACACAGTTACAGCGGACCTCGTGTGGCCTGGGCACAGAAACCCCTTTCTGCACAAGTAGCTTTATGATTTCATAATTGTTGGTGTGGGCAGCCAGAATAATAGGTGTGATATCTGGCGTAAATTCTGAAAACTGCTTGTCCAGAAGCACTGGTGGCACCTGTGAAAAAAGGCAAAAACTCTTACAGGCCTCTTCATTGAAGAAGAGTTATAGAAAATTAAGCTACAAATGGTTTACCAGGTAATACACCAACTGATGGATCTTTGCTACTGGCCAGAGTTGAAGGAAACACTTTAAACGCAACAATTAAATTAGCTAAGATAGCCTTTTTCCAGCTAATAAATTACTATAAACACGGAGCGCTTTTTCATAGAACCTTTTTGTATGTAAAAAAATCCATGGGCAACCATTCTTTAGAGCAAATTATTAGATAAACAAGGAAGAGTCAAACACAAATGCTCCTGTCAGGTCCCTTGAAGTGAGAAAGATGGAAACGCTTTCTCATCTCTCCATGGTTCATCTCAGTTTTGTAGGGAAGAAAGAATCATGGGGGAATAACCATTATTCTCTGAAGGAGGCAGTGAACAGGACACAGGCAAGTTAGAGTTATAAAATAAAATAGACGAGTAAACGAGAAAGAAAATAAACGTTTTCTTAAACAGAATGTTGAAAATAAGACTATGTAGAGGAAGAAACAGATACCTGCTGCAAAGAGCTTAACATCTTAAGGCTCAGTTCTACATTCACATGCATGAAGCAACATATTCTATTTACAGACAAAGTTGGTAGAAAAAGGGGAGTTAGTAGGAAAAGGGTTCCAAGAGATCATGTTTAAAGCCTCTTTTGATGTGTATTTCTGTATTTTCAGAAGACTGAATTTCAGAAGACTTTCATTTTAAGCTTGTTTCTTTATTTTAAACTACCAGGCTCTTAAGTCTTTCCCAAGTCAAGACCAGTTAGACCAGTAAGGTTAAGCACACAGGTGTAATTAGCCAATGTCAATAAAAAATGGTATTGGCATCATCACTTACAGACTGCCTTTGGTCCCCAGCTCAATAACCAAGTACAAACTCAATCCACATGTGAGAGGTGCTCTGACTGATGCTCTTTTAGGAGGAAACAAAAATGAAAACATTTGACTCAAAGGTATCTGAAGGCTAGGAAAATAGACGGACACTGCAGGGAGGAAAAAATGTTTGACAGCAGCACAACCATGTTGTCAGGTGGAAAAAAAACACAAATACACAGAAGAAAAGTTAACAGGAAAAAGGTAAAGCATGTGAGAACAGCATAAGAATGAGTTGAAATGAGTTTAGAGCCTTGGGAAGGAAAGAAGAGAAAATTAAATGCACAGATTCTGACAGAAACTCAATTAAGTTTAAAATAAATGGTATCCTGTGGATATAAAATAAATAAATAAATAAATAAATAAAAAATATATATAAAAAAATCCATAGATCCTGGATCTCCTCTCCAACCCCCTTTCTAATCTTCATTATTGTCTATTTTGTACGTTTTTTAGCTATTCTGCATGTAAAACAGTTCACAATTGTTCAATGGGACAGTGTCCACATCTAAGATTTCCCATGTTTGTGGCTGTAAAACATGGACCTGAAGAATTAAGTAGCTGAATGAGAGAATTACTTTGGGAGGTGGCCCCTCAAATGGGAGTGGTAGAATGGGGTGGAAAGTCAAGACTGGAGATCTGGAATTCAGGACTGTAATCAAAAATTTCTAGGGAAGCAATCCCTGCCCGTCCATAGTGTATTGCTGACCTCGAGTAGCTGTGCCGGATTGTTAGAAGGTATGTGGAGTCAACAGGCAGAGAAATCCCTTCTCTCCCTTCCCATGCACTCAGACATGCACGCTTGGCTTGGCACTGGGTCAGGCTGGCACAGAGTCTGTTTTATCAGAGGACTGTGGGATGACTGAGCTAGCTCACTCACCCTCACAAACAAAATACTGTTGTGTGTGAAGACATATAGAGAAACATGGGTTTAATATTACTCAGGAGATAAGGAACCCAGCTCAGAATATGCTGAAGGTAAGTATGGATGGGGGAGACACTCGGGGATAAGAACAAGCAGAAGGTCTGTGCACTGTGCCTGGTCTCAGCTGTGGTCAGGACAAAAAACACAACCTGGGAATATGTCTTCTCAGAGGACTCTGGCTCTGTCCACACTGCTCTGTCAGGTCTCCTCCAGGGCACCTCTGCATTATCTGTCACCTCTAGGCTGAACACCATGCAGAGCCCACATGGGGATGCCCGCTTGCCCAAATTGCTTCATTATTTCTGTCCAGTGTGGACTGGGGCTTGAAATCCATGTCTGTTTTCTCACCTGTTCTTGGAGTCAGTGGGGAAAATGAGACCCAATTTCAATCCCAATTCTCACTAGTTATTGTAGTCTTAGATTTACCTTCTCTTTGACTTAGAAAAAAGAGAGCACTGCATGCATACACAGACTTTGCCTGCTCTCTAAATTGCAACTGCGGCCAACGCTTTTGAAGCTAGAAGGAGATTAAAATGGTAGAAGAGGTTCAAACGTTGCATTAGTAGAAAGGAGATTCCTGGCCATCATAGATCTGAAAAACGTTTACAGAGAGGCATGTGTTGTGTTCTGACAGTGTCTGCCACAACTAGTGAGACTTCCTCATGGCCTCAGGTTCAGGGTACCAGGGAGCAAAGGAAACAGCTACAAGGGCAGAAAACCCAAGGACAGAAAGCTTTAACTTCAAACTCACTGACTGCTCAGAGTATTACTCTGTCACTTTGCATGTCACTAGCTTTGTACTTTCTGACAGTACTAAACAAACATTTGCTTCAAGCCCTGCCAGAACCAAAGGCTATCTTAAACATATCATCAGCTGCAAGCTCTGAAAAATTAAGACACAGCTTCAAACAACATAACATTACAATGATTGACTTACACATAGGGTCCATTATCTCAAAAGCTGCTTGTTTTTCTCATAGCTTATCAAAACCTTTCATCTTAAGCTAACTCAGATATCAAGGCTAATGCACGCATTTTGGAATTCATACCATCAGAATTTACCCAAATATAGAATCGTGTATTAAATCATTTCAGCCTTAACTTACCGAAACATTTAAACTTAAAGGGTAAACCCTAAGACTTCAATTTTAATTACATCATTATTTTAACCCCTGACCCTTTACTTCCTATTTTAAGATTTTCTACTAATTTAAACCAAAGATAGAATGTCAAAGCAGTAAGGTCAAATTATTCCCTCATCTGCAGCAAAATGAAGTACTTGTCTTTGAAGTTCTGAGTGCTCTATGGCACTCAGAATATTTCAGCAGTTAATTGTTGACCCAGAGTACTTGTTCTTAAGTTATCAGCCTTATAACGAATTTTACTTTCAAAGTACTGAAAAATACTTCTCATTACAGAAGCCAAAACAAATAACCAGTACACACTGACATTAGCCATGCAATGTGAAGCTTTGACAGAACACTCACAGAAAACATATGAATCTTCCTTAAATCCTGGAGGACGGGGAGCTACTAGGTCTTACAGTCATTGACTGTTACTGTAACTTCCCAAGGCTCAGCAGTGGTGCAACTATATTGTAAATTTTGGAGTTAGTGTGTTAAGTGTGAGGCTGTTTAAATTTGGCCAGGTCAAAGGATTCTTGTCTTTTTAAAATTTTGTTGAAAATTTTCTACTTCAGCACTATTTATAGGGTTGAGCAAACCAGTTTGGTGACTGTGTATACTTGTTATATCTTATGGTGATGAGTAGGCAAAAAGAAAACAAAATAGAAAAATAAGAGAGCATGGCTCAAAGTCTGTACACTTCAGTGCTTAAGGACACAAGCGTTTTCTATTGCACTTGTTTTCCCTGCACTCACTGTACGTGGGAATGAATCATTCTGACTTGGATATCTAACAATCCTTTTAGATACCAAGTGGAACAGTCCTCTCCAATTTGTGTTTATGTTCCCTGTACAGTCTGTGTGAAGAGAAGCTCCTTTGCTATGACAGGAAGAGAAATCTAAGTTAAATTAATGCTATTTAGGTCTGAGACATTTTCCTGTCCCCATGACATCAAAGTAGAGATTGATAGATGATGATCTCTCAGACATCCAGGAAACAGAAAAATTTAAAAGTTAGTTTGGAAAAGGTAGAATGTGAACCCCAGCTGCGTCTTTTTCTCCATCTAGATATCTCATAATGGCTTTCATTGCTGGAAACTCAAACTGCAGTGCCCATTTACCTACTGATTAGGTGCAAGAGCTCAGAATCTGTGTAAATCTATTTCCCTGGGCAAACAGTTTCCCTGGTTCCTGTCTTTGTTATTTATTTACAACTATTTTGCCTATTGTTTATAAAAGAAAGCAAATCCTGCAATGGCTTCAAGTAGTTAGGGGAATAAATTTCTGAGTGATGTCAATCATGACAGCATGATTGGAGGAAAAACCTAAAGCAAAGGAAAAAAAGAACATATGACATTAGATGAATAGATGTCATCTCATGCAGTACTACATTATATAAGGAAATTAAAATTATAAAGGTGTGTCATCGAGGTGTCAGTTGCTTCAGCACTATTGCTCTATAGCTGTCATCAGCCAAACAGCTTCAAAATTCTTAGCTCTACATTTCAGTACAGTCCACAGCACACAAGTTATTCCTATGCATATACAGTTTCATGATTTACATTCTGGTTTGTTGAGTTCTGCTCTTCTTTGGTTTGCTATTATTGTATCATTATTTTATCAGCTGAAATACGTTCTGATTACAACAAAGGAATTAGTTCCACCAGGAAGGGTTCAAAAATCTCTCCTACCCCAACTCCTTTCACATGCACTAAGTCACTAATAAATATCCAGCTAAATTGAACCACTTGGAGATACAATGTCAAGAAAACTTGAATTCAGTTGTCACAGTACTGGACGGGTCTCTAAACAGCAAATCCTGAAAGTCATGTTGCAGCTATCCTCACAAGACCGCATAAGCTGCAGGTCTGCAATGGTAGCCCCAGACTTGGCCAAAGTCCTTTGGCCAAACATTTCCTGCTCGCTGTGCATTGCACAGTTGGCATGCTGTGCGGCCATCAAGAGTGTAAGGCAGACATCTGGATGGAAGTTGCCAAACTGAGCTCAGGGACAGCATCGTTTCAGACCAGCGTGTGTGACAGTAA